GTACTGGGAATTGAACTCAGGTCCTCTGGAAGAGCAGTCAGTGCTCTTAACCACTGAGCCATCTCTTCAGACCCTACATCTAGTTTTTTAATTAACTCACTTATGTGTATGGGTGTTTTTCCTGAATGTGTATCTGTGCATAGCATGTGTGCCTAGTGCCTAGAGAGGCCAGAAGGTGTCAGATACCCTGGGACTGGAGTTGCAGACTGTTGTTAGCTGGAACTCAAACCCGGGTCATCTGGAAAACTAGCCAGTACTCCTAATGACTGAACCATCTCCCCAGCTGTATGCTTGATTTTTTAAAAAAATTTTGTGTGTACTGGTGTCTCATGTGCATGTGTTTCTGTGTGAGGATGTGTGAGGATCAGATCCCCTGGAACTGGAGTTATACGGACAGCTGTGAGCTACCATGTTGGTGCTGGAAATTGAGCCCCAGTCGTCTGGAAGAGCAGCCAGTGCTTTTCACTGCTCGCTCCCCAGACCCCTTGTTTTGTTTGGTTTATGTGCATTGGTGCTTTGCCTGCATGCATGTCTGTGTAAGGGTGTCAGCCCCTAGGACAAAAGCATGTCTGTGTAAGGGTGTCAGCCCCTAGGACTACATGCATGTCTGTGTAAGGGTGTCAGCCCCTAGGACTACATGCATGTCTGTGTAAGGGTGTCAGCCTCTAGGACTACATGCATGTCTGTGTAAGGGTGCCAGCCTCTAGGACTGGAATTATAGACGGTTGTGGCCCCTGGATGAGCAGTCAGTGCTCTTAACCACTGAGCCATCTCTCCAGCCTGTTTGCTTGATTTTTTTTTTTTAAGACAGACTCCCATTATGTAATCCTGGCTGGCCTCAAATTCACAAAGATATGCCTGTCTTTGTCTCCAAAGTGCTGAGTTTAAAGGTGTGTGCCATCATGCCTAGTCTTTTCTGGGTTTTAAATTTTTTATTTATGGGTCTGAAAAGATGGCTTAGCAGTTGAGAGCACTGGGTGCTCTTCCAGACTACCTGGGTTCAATTCCCAGCACCCACATGGCAGGTCACAACTGTAACTTCAGTTCCAGGGGATCCAACACTCACACACAGGCATACGTGTAGTCAAGACACTGACACATATAAAATAAAAATGAAGATAAGTCACTTAAAATATATCGATTATGTGTGCACACCAGTCCATGGTGTGGATGCCAGAGAACACCTAGTGGAAACTCGTTTCTCTTCTTGTACCACGTAGGTTCCAGGGGTCAACCACAGGAGATTGCCTTTGTCAACAAGCACCTGACTACCTGCTAAGCCATCTTGCTGGCCAGTTTGTTTTGAGACAAGGTCTTATTACACAATTGAAGATGGAATCAAACTCATGGTGATTCTTTTGCCTGTTTCCCGAGCAGCTGAGATGGGCCAGTCCTACCACAACTAGCTGTACTTGGAATTTTGATTTAGATCATTTCCTAGGCCTGAGAGCCTCTCTGGCTGTTTCCCGCAACGCCACCATCTGGAGGGGTCAACCAGTGTGTAGAGTGGCTGCTCTGGGATGGTACAGTATCCTAATGCCTTCACAAAGGATTTCCAATGGCTGGGACAGGACCTCATTGTTCCTAGGGACACCGTATTACCAAAAGAGTTAATTCCACCTGTTTCTTGTTATTTTGTTGAAAATTTGGCAGGTATACATAGAAATTACATGAGTCCCTCCCATTCTACTTCCAGTGGACATCCCTACTGTCACTCATGGGTGACAATGAATCCTTGCGACAGGCACATAGGCCAGTTCTGAGGATGACTGTCAGGGACCGCCCACCCCAGTCTTCATGGCCAGGAGAGAGATGACCTGTGAGGGGTGAAGAATAAAACTTGCTGTGGGAAATGCTTTTGTACACTGTAAAGAGTTGTCACTCATACTGGTTTAATAAAACGTTGATTGGCCAGTACCCAGGCAGAAAGTATAGGTGGGGCAACAAGACTAGAAGAATTCTGGGAAGAGAAAAAGCAGACACGCAGTCACCAACCAGATGCAGAGGAAGCAAGATAAGAATACCTTACTGGTAAAAAGTACCAACCACGTGGCTAAACATAGACAAGAATTATGGGTTTAAGTTGTAAGGTCTAGTTAATAATAAGCCTGAGCTAGTAGACCGAACAGTTTATAATTAATATAAGCCTCTGTGGGTTTTTTTTGGGGGGGACTAAATGACTATGGGATTGGGTGGGACAGAAATTTGCATTTACAAAATCTCAACACAGTACCACATTTTCAGGTGCTGACTCAGGCCATCCAGAGACTGATTTCACGATTAAGCTACACCGAAATTCCTTTGCAAAGTAGCAAAAACCTGTCATCTTTACAAAAAGAATGAATTCTGCCTGAATATGGTGGCACACACCTTTAATCCCAGCACTCTGGAGGCAGAGGCAACGGATCTCTGAGTTTGAGGGCAGCCTGGTCTACAAATCGCGTTCCATTACAGACACGGAGAAACCCTGTCTTGAAAAACAAAAACAAAATAAAACCAAAAGAAGAACCAAAAAAAAGAAAGGCAAAAGAAAAAAAGAAGAATGAACTTTAAGCAGGGTGGTGGTTGTGCACCCTTTTAATCCCAGCACTAAGGAGGCAGAGGAGGAGGACTTCTGAGTTCAAGGCCAGCCTGGTCTACAGAGTGAGTTCCAGGACAGCCAGGGCTGTACAGAGGAAACCCTGTCTCGACTCCTCCCCCAATAAAGGGTTCTACTGGCTAGGGCCTGAGCTGATAAGGATAATTGTAAGAATAGATTCTACTGGTGGAGAATGCAAAGTACATGGGGCCTATTTCATAGGGATGTGTTCTGTTCACTGAGAGAGAAAGCCCAGGATACTGGGGGTAGGGGACTCAGGTGAAGGATGGCTCCTAAGAGGGTAGCACAGCACCACAGGGGTTTTGACGACATCACTTCAACATTTCAGGGATCAGGCATCATTCATTTCTTCTATTGAAGAAAGCGCCTGGTTTCTCAACGCTGACTCTAAGCTGTGCTTCCGATAGGTGGCACTGCTGGGTTTGGTAGAAAGCTGACCAGCTCCTTCCCCTGACACCTGCTGGGCCTCAGAAAGCTGGGAGCTGGGAGAGGTGGCACTCAGGAGGCAGAGGTGGGTGGATCTCTGTGATTCCAGGCCCACCTGGTGTACACAGTGACTGTGTCTCTGCAGATGTGTGCTCCCGTCTACCCTGGAGGGGCCCTGGAATCAGGAAGGCCTTTCTTTATACCCAGAACTCAGTCACTCCACTGTCCCTACCAGGCTGCCTGAGCAGAGAATCAGAAGCGATATTCTACTAGTTAACTAGGGGCAGGTTTTGGATATTCTTGGGACACTTTATGTTCATTCCTCACATACTTCCATGGAGGATTAATTCAATCTCCACTGCTTACCTGTGTCCTTAAGTGCCTTTAGTATTTAGAAGCTCTCCACAAAACAGACATTCTGAATTGTTCTTTTTTTGGGCAATACTGGAGATTGAGCCCAGCATTTGGTGTATTAGGCAAGTGCTTTACCACTAAAACATACTCCCAGCCCCTCACTGGGGGGATTCTAGGCAGGGACTTTTTTTTTTTTTTTTTTTTTTTTGAGACAGGGACTCTCTTTGTAACCTTGGTAGTCCTGGAACTCTCTACGCTGATCAAGCTAACTTTGAACTCAGAGAATTGCTTGTCACCCAGGACTGGGCGTTGCCCCTTCCTAGGTCACAGGACTTATCTTTTAGACCCATTCTGGGCTTGTTGGAGATTAGAAAAGCCTGTCTGGGGTGGCGTTTTGTCCTGGCGATAACAGAAATGGACCCTTCCAATTCCCTTCGCCACAAAATTCTCAACAGCCCGGGCATCGGCGATCTGGCAGCTTTCCTTTCTTGCAATCAATCCTCAGCTGTGGTGGTAACTGGTTTTTGCCTGGGTGACTTCCAGAACTGATGGAGGAAGCAATTTTTACTTTATGACCACTTAATGCAGACTCTCTTAGGCACTATGGTTCAGGGAGAAAAAAAAAAGAGCAACCTATATTTAAAAATGTTTAAAAACTAAAATAGTAATTCCATAGTTTTCTTCCTCTGAGCTGTGTAGTCTTGGGCAAGCCTCTCTGGACCTCAGTGTTTAATGGGACGAACCTTTAGGGGCAGTCCCTTCTCTCATGGATGATAGGTTTCCAGGAAAGTCAATTTCCAGGTGATTTATTTATTTTTTTCTGGTTTTTCGAGACAGGGTTTCTCTGTGTGGCTTGAACTCTGGCTGGCCTCGAACTCACAGAGATTCACCTGCCTCTGCCTTCCGAGTGCTGGAATTAAAGGCATGCGCCACCAACGCCGGGCTCCAGGTGGTGTTTTTAGGGAAGGAAGCGGGAAGAGCTTGGTGCCCAGACAGAGACTGAAACAGTCCGGAATGCAGATGCAGAGAGAGGCCGGGAAGAAGGGGGCGCCTGCGTAGTGGACATCTCATGGTCCATCGCCTCGCCCAGCCCCTCTCTGCAGCAGGGAATTGCAGGCAACGCTCCACCTATCGCAGCTCAGCTGACTGACAGCTCCTCTTTCTCCTTCCTTCTCTATAGGTCGTCGCCCTCTGCCCATCCCCTCACAACCGCCCCTTCGAGGGCGGAAGTATAAATCGTCCGGCGAATCCGCATAGCCTTGCGGAGCTCAATCTCCTCACCCATTGGTCTTCTTTGCTCGAAGTTCCGCCTCCTCCGGCGCGTTCCCCAGCCTCTTCTTACGTCCCGCCCTCCTGTCGGGGAGAAGACTGTCCATCCAATTAGCGTTAGCCTCTGTCGTGAAGGGGGCGGTTCCAGAGTGTGTCATCGAACGCCGCCTGTCTCTAGGGCAACGCCCCCTGCCTCCCTGCTCCGAACGGAAATAGCACGGTACTGCGCCAATCATCACCATGTGTCTTTACTAGTTATCCAATAAAAATGGGAGGAGGGCGGGAGTTCTATTGTGAGCGGCAGGGCGCTCAGCCAGCAAGCGGCGGAAGTTCCCGGATGACAGCCCGCAGGGGCGGGTCCGAGGCGGGGCGTCGGCCTGCAGCCATCCCGCCGCCAGCCCGCCCTCCCCCGGC